GACAAGGTCTCACCAAGTTGCCCAGGCTGATCTCAAACCCGTGGGCTCAGGCAATCCTCTTGCCTCCACCTCCCAAAGTGCTGGGATTACAGTTGTGAGCCACTGTGCCCAGCTAATTGCTTGATTTTTTAATAGAGACAAGGTTCCCCTATATTGCCCAGACTGGTCTCAAACTCCTGGCCTCAAACAATCCTCCTGCTTCCCAAAGTGCTGGGATCACAGGTGAGCCACTGTGCCTGGCCAACACTTACTTATTGAGCACCAACTATGTGTATGTGTTAGGCGCCATTCTAGACTCTGGAAGAAGACAAAGTTGTGACCCGCAGGAGGCTTTTCATCTGACTGGAACAGGAACCAACAGCCCAGTAAGCTCTGCCAGGTGGCAGAAAGGACTATGCAAATACCACAGGGAAGGGGTGGAGGGATGGGTGTTCTTTTCAGCAGAGTGGTCCAGGAAGGCCTCCCGGAGGACAGATGAGGAAGCCTGGGAAAAAGCCATCCTGGCCAAGGGAGCAGCTAGTGCAAGGATCCCGAGGTAGGGCACACTTGGGATGCTGGAAGGAGAGAAGGAAGCCCTTGGCGGGGGTGGGGGGTGGGGGGTGGAAACGAGCCAGGAAGGTAATCAGAGAAGACATCAGGCTGGGCATGGTGGCTCACATCTATATTCTCAGCACTTGGTTTGGGAGGCCAAGGTGAGAGGATTGCTTGAGCCCACGGGTTCATAAGAGACCAAACTGGGCAACTTGATTATTATGTCTACAATCTTGATTATTATGTCTACAATAAATCAAAAAAATTAGTTGGGCGTGGTGGTGCACGCCTGTAGTCCTGCCTACTTGGAAGGCTGAAGTGGAAGGATCGCCGGAGCCCATCAGGTCGAGGCTGTGGTGGCCGTGAGCGTGCCACTGCCCTCCGACCTGGGCAACAGAGTGAGATTCCAACTCAAAAAAAAAAACAATTGAAAAAAAGGGATGCCAGAGAGGTGGTGGGCATCTTGTGAATGGGCGCCAAGGACCAGTGCCGGCTGTGGCACCCCTGAGCGCCCAGCCAGACCAGGGGCCCCAACCCTGGGGTCCGGTGACACCCAAGCCCCCAAACTCAGTCCAGCACCTGACTCGTCACCTTGGGCTGGCAGGCATTTCTGGGTTTCCTGGGGGGCAGATCCAGTCGAGGGGGCAGGGGAGGAGCCGAGGCAGCCACCTGGAGGGGACAGAGGGTGGGGGGTTGTGAGCGGCCATTTTCTTCTCACCTACGCGTCCTCTGCCCGGGTCCCGGCGTTCAGGCGCTGTTCCAGACTCAACATAGAACAGAGACTAAGGCCACGCGCTCGCCCTCAGGAGAGCCACCCCAGAAAAACGCGCGGCCCCAACCCTCAGGGAGGCCAAAGTCCAGGCCTCCAGGGCTCAAGAATCTTGCTACCAGCCTCCGGCCCCCTCAGACCCAGGAGTCCTGTCCCCTCAGACCCGGGATTCCAGGCCCCGCCCCGCCTCCCTCAACCCAGGAGTCCAGGCCCCGCCCCTCCTCCCTCAGGCCCAGGAGTCCAGGCCCCGCCC